TTTTTTTTTTTTTTTTTTTTTTTTTTTTTTTTTTTTTTTTTTTTTTTTTTTTTTTTTTTTTTTTTTTTTTTTTTTTTTTTTTTTTTTTTTTTTTTTTGATAAGCAAATTAAAATATCTCTCTAATATAGAATAATGATAGTGGAAAGTCTTAGAAATAGCTAAATATTATTTAAATAACAAAATGAGTATAAATAGTGACAAGTTATTTATTTTAAAATCTAAACACTCAACAGTTCAATAAACAAACGTACTTAAATAAATAATAATAATTGATAACCAGTCTGAGCATAGTGCAAGGTTGAGAATGCTCATTAATAAATAAAATAATTATTTAAATTATTGTTTGCATGAAATTATCTTTGGGTAGGCTCATTTTATAATTTTGTGCAAAATGTTTTGGAATGGCTTTCAAAACTTCCCTAGGTGTAGCAAAAAGTGCAATGATGATTAAGGAGCCTATACATTCGCCTGATCTAGACCATTTGAGATTATAGTATTCAGATTGTGGCTACACTCTTTATTTTGATGATTAAAATTCTATATTCATTAAAGAACAGTATGTTTATTCAAATCACGATTTTATGATTGATTTTAGTTGACCTAATTAATTATTATGTTTGAAGTTGACCGTCTAATACATCAAAATTGGTTTTTAAAGCGTGAAATATTTTGAGCTATAATTGTTTAAGTTGCTATTATTCATTTTACCATACCCTCCAACATTTGAGGTTCTTGCGAAGGATTTTTTCCAATTTTAATCTGAGTCAGAAAATTTCAAAACAAACGATTTCTCATTAAATTTAAAAACGTCACAATGAACTGTGGAAACTAGTAATTGGTGCACCGGGGTACTAGTAATTGGCGTACCTGGTCAGAAAGGCCACCTCTGTAAATGATATGATTACAAACTGAATCAAAGGCCATTGATGTTAAAATTATTTGGGTTAGTAAACTTGATGTTAGATAGTTAAATAATATTGTGGAAAAAGAAGGTAGAAAGGATAGCACAAAACAGGGATAACACGGACAGGTAATAACATATACGAACAAATGAAGAAAATATATTACTTCATTTATCTATTATTATTTATTTTTTATTCATAATTATTAACAAATAAGCAGTTCGAAACGTGACAATACCACCAAACTACTTTTATATATCTGCTTAAACTAATTATATGTAGTGGTAGACTAAATTATTATATGGAAATTCAGTAATAGTTGAAGGGTATGCTGTGCCCAATTTAAATTTTTGCTCAGTAAAAACCTCATCGCCTTCTGAATCTAGGATTGAGAACCATTATTTTTAATAAAATCATTGTACCTGAGTCTTCATCAGCATTTTCTGAGTTAGGATCAGAAATAAATACAGGCTCTGATGGTACAGCTCCTTCATCAAACCAAGAAATGGATGTTTTGTTTTCAACATCTCCTTTAATCTATAAAAAGATGGATCTGACTTAATTTTTATTAAACATATTGTCAAATTCTATTTTACTACAAAATTTAAATCTTACCAAACAATTCTCCGAAGTTTTTCCATTTGTTGCAACAGCATAATAGTATTTGTACTTCTTTCCATTGTATTTTTCATAATTTATTCTCGGTAATTCTGTAAACCATACATCTGAAAATAATTTTAACATTTGTGGGTTATATCAAAATTTTATATTTCAAATTATTTTTGTTGAGACTTATTAGCTATTCAAGCATCAGAAGTTCTGGCCTTAAAATATATTTGAGTGCCTATCCTACTTTTCCGATAAGTTGGCTCGTTTCTTTTCCTTTCAAATTATTTTTCTCTCTTCCCGAACTTGATTACTATTAAAATCTTATTTTATAAAAAAATATCTATCTGATGTTCATTCACTGAGGTGTGTTCTTTCACTGGTTGGTTTACCTTAGTTCAATGTAAATTACATGTAATCAATTGGAGATTAAAGTTTCTGTAATTCTTGTATTTTATTTTTGTTAAAAAGAAACAATAAAAATGTTAAAGCATTAAAATAAAAAGGAAGCAGCACCTGTTAGTAATTCGTCGGTACAGAAAATTGTACCATCTTCCAATTTCTTAGCTGTAGCTGTTGTGTTTGGCAATTTTACAAGATTTTCATCCTAAAATCATAAATGTTGAGAATATTTACAAAGTAAATAAAATTATAGAAAAATATACAGCATTTATTTGGGGTAATTTAGTTTGAATGTTAAAATGCTTTGTGCCCATGCTTTAACCAATATTGTCGCACCGTTTTTGTTAGTTCTATTTTATGTATAAATAATTTTTGGAGGAAGCCTATCATCCTGACAATTTTGCCTTCTCCGCGTTATTGATAGTTTATACTGTATCTAACTGTTTTTATCTTATTTTATTTACTTTGTATCTTATAACTTACGTACTATTTTTACCCATTTTAATTTTAACAAATTTACACTTTTATTAATTAAATTACTTTCGAATGCATTTGTGTGTTAATACGGTTTTATAAATTTTACATATTTTAATAAGATAAATTTCTTGTAAAATAAATTTGTATTTGCGAAAATTTAATATTAAGATTAATATGTAACTATCATTCGAAAAACCGCTTGTTTTCTGCCACATTTCACTGCATTCAATTAAATTCAAGCCAAGTCAATGGGCCAAAATGTTAGCTGCTCCTTAACTAAACGGTCTGAAATTTTCGATTTGGTTTAACTATTAGGTTGATTTTAATGATTGCGGTTACATTTCGTAGTTCAAAAAAATCCAAATTTGATAACAAAAATTATGTTGTTGAAAAAAATTTACAGTTTTGTGACTAACTTCGTACTGGAAAATCGATCGTGTACCAAAAATTACATCACTAACTCAAACCATTTAGGTTTGAATTCTTTTTTTTTTTTTTGTGCAGTGTGCTAATTGTAGAACTCTTTTACTACATCAGGAGAACTTTAACTTACGTCATCGCTTTGTATTTCATTACAATGTAATGTTTTAACCTGTTTTATGCAATTTTATCCGATTTACACTTTTATCTGATTTAATTGACTCCTGGATGTTTTGTGTGTTATGCATAGTTTTAACAATGCATTTTGACAAAACAAATATGCTTTTTTCTTACATTTGTTGAAAGAAAACCGTTTGTTTGGCGTAGCCTGTTCTTTTTTGCGCCTTTAAACCCCACATTCAATTCAATTAACTTGCATCATGGATATTAGAGTATAAAAAAGTAATTTCAGTATAATTTTCGATGCTTAAAGAAATCAGAAAAGATAAAGAATTGAATTTAGATTGGTTTGTTTATATGTACAAATATGTATATGTTTTTATGCATAAATATAACACCAAACGTACCTTGTTTTTTCCTTCTACTTTAAGAGGTAGAACAAATCTCTTCGTCCGTGAATTTACAATACCATTAGGGCAATGGGGATTATTTTTAAAGAAATCTTCAAGAGCTTTTATGTAAAGCTTATTCACAATCTCTCCATCGTCGTAAACGCAAAGATCAACTACAAGCTGATCATCTTCTTCATAAGCATTGATATGATGAAAGACAAAAAAACCTTTAGAGAGGTACACGGTGTTCAGCAGTTCCCCATCAGATCGACGTGCGACGTGGAAGCGACACTAAAAGAAAAAAAAAAGATTGTAGATTAAAAACGCGTGAACAAATATAAGTACAAAACTCTTTCTTCATTAATTAACATTTATAATTGTATCGACTTAAAATTTGTCTCATTGAATTCAGCAAATTGAGTGAGACAAATATACGGAAAAATAATGAATACGAAAAAAAGAAAGCTTAGAAATTTATTTCATATTTCACGAATTTACGTAATCTCTGTGTAACTACGTATACGTACAAAATTGTTTTTATTGTTACGTGTTTGTCGTTGTTACGTACATATAACTGAACCTTAATAATTCCTTGTATAATTCTTGTAGATTTGGGTTTTGTCGCATTCTCAGTGTAAAATAATTCATAAACAATTTCTCACTTTCCTAGGAAGTAATGCTTAAGATTCTGACCACCTTTTTCACTTCCCAATACCGTGTACAATGTGCCCATCAACTCTTTTTACTACTTAATTAAAAAGTACGGTACTTTTCCATTATACCGGCGCAAATCTCGCCAAGCAGACTTTATTGGCCGCAACACACAGCATACACATTAAAAAAAACTGTTAATAAATGGTTCAATTTTTTCTTTTTTTACTTCAGAGACATAAACATTTTAATATCACACCTAAAATATTTTCAAAAGGGTCCTCCGTGTGCCTTCTCCACATAAATTCCCCAAGATAACTTTCGGGATGATAGCGGGCCGTTCCTCTGTGTTTCTTATTTCACCATTTAGCGCTGCTCTACAGCCACTCCATTTTTTGCTTGTGCGTCCAAGTTTCCGGATCGATTAAGTTGTACTTATGATTCACTTTGAAATGTTCGAAACTTTCATCTTCTAGCTTACTAGTCAGTATAATTTCCATGAATCGGAATATATTATAGTTTTTTTCTTGATATTTTTCTTAATTGCCTTCAATAAAGTGTTAGTGGATCGGTTTTTCAACTCCACAAGGAAACATTCGTTCGTTTTCCGACAGACTCTACCGAATATCCATTGTTGTGATAGAATCCTACCCGCCTTGTTTTTTCGCTTTCGTCCACTTCGACGATCATGCCAGGTCCTCCTATTTTCCGTTGTTCACGTTTAAGCAAAAAATTCACACAAACCTCATGCATGAGTCTACACAATTGTTCCGTGTCTAATTTCCAACTGCTTTTCACATCATATAACTGAAGTTAATTCTTCACTCCAACAATATATAAACTCTTCAAAAAGCTCAATTTCGATGACTGAAACCATGTGCCTTTACGGTTTCTTTTACAGCGGACAAGATGAAAGGTTGCAACGCCCTTGAATTTCATCTTCGCATTTCATGATTCTTATCACAAATTGCGATTTCAGCTAAAACGCCTTTCCCTTGAAAGAATCTGGCTGCTTCTTTCTCTGTTTTAGGCAAATCCCAAATTTTCTTTGCTTTTTGCGTAAATTTTTCGTATCAAGAAAAAGACGTGACTCATGGGAAAAAAATGGCAGTGACTTGCTTTGAAAATGGGGAGGCAAAAGGTTTCCAGATTTCACAACTACAAATACAGTAATGACATTAAATTAGCTGTAACGGGTTAATAATAATCTTGCAATTAGATATAGAAAAGCCTGTAGAATAAAAAAGCCTGTTGCAATAAAAAATCAAATTCGAAAACCAAAACTATGTTCTAAAAAATCAAAAACTCTCTGATGTTTCATGAAATCTCGTGCTTTTATTTATTTTATTCGTGCTTTTGCTAACCCGATAATTTTTACTATTTTTAGACTTTATAACTCCTCACCCCTTGGAAGAACTTTTCCAGAGAAAACAAAGGAAAAGTTATTTATGAACTTTGTATTTTGTGTATTTCTTTAAACTTATGGTTAAAACCAATGCATTATGTTACAATCAAAACAATTCACTTTTAAAATAGGTTGGTTGGTTCTAATGCCACTTGCCATTCTAGAAAGCCTGCGTGGTGAAACCGAGCAGATTTAAGGCAGAGGGGCGCTTCTTGTTTTTCAGTGGCGCCATCTATGGCCAAGAATTCGACTTCCGCCGCATCATACGTCACACCTGTTTATAAGGCATCCATTCATTCATCCACAGATCGTAATTTTGACCTGAATCAGAGAACGATCGATGTCCAATCTAGTACCCCCAGAGGTATTGGTTTGTTATGGGAACATGGGGGACTTTGCGACTCTACAGAATTTTTACGTGCATCAGTCACCAACTACACGGGGAGTCTTCGACCGCCGGGGTTCGAACCTACGAACTGTCGGACATGGGTCCAGCACCCTACCGACCAGGCTATCCCGGTCCATTTTAAAACTAAATTTTCTAACTGTCAAATTAAATGCAACATACAATTTTTACATTAGAAGTGATGTATAATATTTAACTTTATAACTTAAAGTTACTAAATTATTTTTCGACTCTTGCAGTAAACATTGGTAGACAATTCACTTGTAACTCAATTTAGATATCAAACTAAAATATTCAAAATAAAATTAGAATGTGAATAAATACTATAATTTAACTTCACATAAAATAAATACAATGAAATATAACTATTTACATACGAGTACATACAATATCTAAAAACTGAATCTAACTAGATCTTTTTTTATTTTTTTTTTTATCAAAATGCTTATTTTTATCTTGATGTCACTAGCCATAAAACCAAACAAAATACTAAACACTTTCAATCTTCACATAATTAGATTCTAATGCGAATCTTATTAATATTTATATGCATAACTTAGAAAAATAGCATAATTTAAGAACTCGTTTTTAAGAACTCTAACTCTCTCTTTTTAAGAACTCTTTTTTTCTCTTCTTTTAAGAACATTTTTCTAGCAATCAAATTCGCTTAACACCTATGTTTCATTTTAAAGTATAATACTTTTAAACACTTTATTAAATTAAACTTAACTGATTCAATTTCAAAAAATTCAATATATTTTTCTGCGACCATCATAATTTAAACTTTAGTTTAAACTTCCATAATAATCTCATTTTTGTACGAGTTTTTTTTTTAAGTAAATCTAATTTATGAATAAGAAAATAAAACTAAACTGTACAAACCATTTATAATTATATAAACAGTCTTTAAAACAAAGCAAAATAATTAAAGAAATAGCAAAAAAAAAATTATTATTTAAATAAAAATAATTTGAAGTAAAATAATAAAAAAAAAACTTTTTTGTAGAACTATTTAAACTTTTTTTTATAGTTTAGTTCAAGAACAGTAAACATAAATTTTAACTGTCTTAGTTCTTCTCTTTTTCTTCTTTTTTTTTATTGCGATTTGATTATTGTTATTGATTTGATTATTGCGATTTGATTATTATTTTTACAATTCACCTGTCCCAATAATATTGCCAAGTGTCAAATCTTTCGCAATAATATTCAGAAGAAGAAAAAAAACCTGAATTTGATTAGGCGATTTGTAAAAACTAATATATTAAATTAATTGCGCCATTGAATAATGGTGTAACATAAGTGATAAAAAGAAGATTATTGAAAATAAGATTGATTCAAATGAATGTAACTCACTGGCTGGCTATCATTCCAGGAGAGAGCATCAGCAAACGTTGATGATTTGGTGATTAAAGAAGACACAGCTAACTTCGTATAAGATAACTGAAGAGGTTGTTCCACAAATATAAAATAATTTTCGCTCATACCAAAGCTGTGATGATAGCTGAGGGAAAAGTATTTTGAAGACGGTATGGTACAAACAACTGAAGCTTTTTCAAATGTGTTATCAGACTCTTTTTCTACAATTAAATGGTTGGATAAAATTCATTATTTTAATGTTCTTATCAAAAGCATACTAATATACTATTAGTACAACATGACAAAAAAAATTGCTATCTGAATAACTTTAGTTCTAATGATGCCCCACTGAATAGTTCAAACGGTCATGCCTTTATATCGCTCAAGGACTGCAATAGTGGCACAACTCGAAAAACAAGCGTTTTGGACTAAGAACAGGTGTAAATATAAAAATACACATTCTTTTCTGCAACAATACTAGCACAACTCATAATTTAACTTGAAGGTAATCTTCGTTTAAGCAAACTATAGCATTTCTTGTGCATTTTTCTTAGCAATGAAAACTTTAAACCCACTTATCTCAAAACATGTTTTTTTTAGTTGTATAGCTATTGCAGCTCATATACTGATGCTAAACTAAAGTAGTTTTTATGCCGGATTTTTTAATTTGATTACCTCAATAAATAATACTTTTTTGCTAACAGATTAAGATTTTTAAATATTTGGGGAGAGTAGTCGCAATCTGAAAAATTGGGTCCCAATAGTTTTAGTCAAGAGAATGATCGAAGATAGTATTAGTTTCACTTTTTACGCATTTTGCGATAGTTCGATAACTTATAAAATGAATCTAAAACTTATATTTAACGCAATTATAAAACTCAATTATCTGATAGATAATCGAGTTTTCTAATTGCGTTTAATTCTATGCGCGAAATAATTTTTAAAACCTAGTCCGTTGAGATAGCGTTTGCGTAGCATGTTGGGGAGGTGGAAGGGAATTAGTACTTAACAGGACGCCATACCAAGGTCGAAACTATTAATCGCAAATTGTGTTTCACCTCCAAAACTAATTTAAAATTTACAGTGTAGAATAAGTGAGTCCAGATAAACCTAGAGTAAGCTATGAAGTTACAAATACTGAATAGAAAATTTTTAAATGATAACTTAGGATTGCGCAACGGAGAAATTCTCCTCCTGTAATTTGTTTACATTTTAATATTTTGAAGCATTTTTTTCAGCAACTTGGTAACTTACTCTAGGTTTGCTTGAACTTACTTTTTCTTTCTTTCAAATTAGTAATGAGGGAGAAAGAATTCGCGACGAAAAATTAAGAGGACGCGGTATAGCTTCCTCTTAATTGATTAATTAATCTTAAGCTGAGTTCATAATTTTTATTGAATCGTCACTTGTACTTTTCAATTGATATTTTAGTAATAAAATTATTTTTAGGTATTTACATTTGGAATGAAACGAAATATGACAATTTACAGTCTCTTGCTCCAAGATCTAATACTATACTACTAAAAGAACTATTTTTTTAAAAAAATTTTTATTAATAGCACTGCTGTAAGTATTTTAAAATGACCTTGTACTAGCATTGACTGTTTTATACATTTAAAAAATTTAATTGAATTTCAAAATATCATTTTTTTGGTATGTCACTAACAATATTTCCAATAATAACTAGCTTCAAAACTTTCCATACATACGATTTTTACGAAAAGATTCATACTCTACGATTTTTACGAAAATTTCATAATAATTTTAGAAGTAAAAAGTAATATTATTAGAAAATGGTTGAAGTAAAGTTACCCTTTGGGGGAAATTTTAAAATCTTGTACTGTGGATGCATTTTAAAAACGCTTCCTACGTTATAAACTGTGCCATCTGTTCCTTCGTGCGCATGAGCAACAGCAGCAGTGACAGGAAGATAACTACTCAAATTTACCTACAAAATAGATGAAAAGTATTAAATAAACATTAAAAATTGTCATTAGGTACAAGAATTACGATGATTTCTTTATCGTAAGTTTCACAACTACATCCCTGCTCATTTCTTTGATTAAGTAGCGTGAGTTGTTCTGGTGTAATTTTTTTCTGGTGTAACGTTAAAATAGGAATAGCAATGATGGACATTTAGTACTTGAAAAGCAGTGGAGATTTAAGAAGAAAATAAAAGTTTAAACAAGTCAAATATATCAAATCTACATGATATTTATACAAATGAAATAGTGCTACTGTTCTTTTTTATTTAACAGTTTTAAATATAAACTGCTAAATCAAATGAACTCATATCAGAAACGATACGACTATTTGTTCAAACACTTCTAAACTTATAAATCTNATCGCTATTATAATCAAACTCACAATATTCTAGCATAAAATTATAAGTGGTCATAGGAATAGTGGTTGTTAGAAATCTCACTACCAATACAACAAAAAAATTCACCGAGTATATCTCTCATGGGCTGCAATAGTGGCACAACTCAAAAAACACACGATTTGGACTAAGAACAGTCGACTAATAAATATGAAAATGCACAGCCTTTCAGCAGCAGTACTAATACAATTCAACTTGAAGGTAATCTTCGTTTAAGCAAACTAAAGCATTTCCTATGCATTTTCTTTAGCAATGAAAACTTTAAACCCACTTACCATCTCAAAACATGATTTTTTGAGTTGTGCCGCTGTTGCAGCCCATGAGCGATAAACTCTGCTATTATAATTAATCTATCTTATTAATTTACGTTATTTCGTTACAACCAGAGCCTGACTAAACTAAACCTGCTAGAAAAAGGAAGGCCTCAGCACGGATCAATTTAGTAGTCCGATGTGACGAAGTTAACTGTACAGTAGATGAAAAATAAGAAAGATGTCATTACGTTCGGGGTACTAAGCTGCGCAGTGGTTGAAAATACGAAATATGTCATTACGTTTGGACTACTAAAGGATATTTATGGTAACCCGTGCTGAGGCCTGTTCTTTTCTAGAAGGTGTTGAACTAAGGCCCCAAATCAAATGGAAAGTTTACTTTTACGTTACAGTCTTTGGTGAACTTTTTTTTAAAACAAAATATCAGCATACTCTAATATTAGTCAGTTTTATGTTAGCTTCTTCATTAATCTATAGAATGAATACAAATTTAGTAAATCCATGGTTTTCTAGGGCGGAATTCAGCTAAATTTTCGTAATTGCGATGGACAAATTTTGCCAATTAAAAACTTGTATTTTTAAATTTCGCAAAATGCAATATGTTGACAAAAATATGGGTTTCTGATTGGCTTAATTGAGCCATCGTAATTGCGAAACTTTAGCTTAATTCCACCATAATGTTAGCAAGGATATGAATTTTTCGCAGCTAGGTGACAAAGTTAACTGTCAGAAAATTGCATTCTACATGAAAATCATAGAATTGTCAGAAAATCAATAAAATGGCAGAACGATATTTCGTCTGATTATTAGAGGAAGGGGGACTTAATGGCTATTTTAGGTTCTAGTCAAATTTCTTGTTATATATCTATAATCAGGCGAAAAATTTAAATAAGTTTATAAAGTTCGGTTCTTCATTACTGAAGTAGTGAAGAAGAGGAGGGCCCCAAAGAGGTTTTTGCCCCGGACCCCAATTAGGCTAAGTTGGGCCCTGGTTACAACAGCTAAAAAAGAGGAAAACAGTACGTATATCTTCTTACCCTTTCCAAGCTTTCTAATGTGACAGGATCAATCTTCCAAATAGCATTTGACTCGGTACAAGCATATGGTTCATTAGCATACATAATGACATTTACTAAGNACAACAGCTAAAAGAGAAGAAAACAGTACGTATATCTACTTACCCTTTCCAAGCTTTCTAATGTGACAGGATCAATCTTCCAAATAGCATTGGACTCGGTACAAGCATATGGTTCATTAGCATACATAATGACATTTACTAAGTCATTATCTGTTAGTCCAGTACCTTTAAAAAAACTAGTAAACCTGAAATTTTAAAAAAATTTTGAATTTAAAAAATAGTTGTTTACATTAAATTAGCAATTTAAGAGAGCGTTAAATGAAGCTTTAAAGATGTATTTTAATGTTTCCGTAGATTGTATTGTTTTGGAGAAACCTTTTTACCACTATAGCTCGCCTCTGAATGATAAAAACTCGAAAACCGAGTTATTTTTGTAACTTGGAATAGTTTGTGTACAAGTAGCAAATTCTTAGGTATGTACCGGATAGCATAAAAACAATCTTTACTTTTGTGTACAAGTAGCAAATTCTTAGGTATGTACCGGATAGCATAAAAACAATCTTTACTTTTACTCAAGCTGGTAATGCCATTTAAGGTTTGCAGGGTCAAGGCGCATAATTTCTGAACCATTCAAAAAAATTTCGACATATTTAGAAATGAATTATGTAAAAATATTCGGAATTTCCTGCAAGCATTGAAATTTTTTGTTGAAAAGTTTCAATGCTTGCATATTTGTGTTGTCAATGCGTTACCCTTATTCATTGAACTGTATGGCCGATTTTGCAAACATTGATACGTTACGTCATTACATTTTATAACGTAGATAGTCCCGTCATTCAAACGGTAAGCCCTCCCCAGTAATGACTTTATGCGTAATTTCAGTCTGAAAGAAAGTGGCTTTTATTTTTTATAGGTATTAAGAAGATTTAACGTGTAGTGCCTAGAAAATTAACGTGCTTTTTTCATAATAGCATATTCTTTTTTGAAAATTACCTCTGAAATATCGTTTTGCAAGGATCAGGTACGCCAAGTGTGCCGAACTCATGCGCTACTATTCTGTTGGCTTTCGTGTTGATTTGGTATGCGTTGCTTCTCACAAATTTGTTTTGGTACGTCACTTTACCATCTTGTACACCAAATCGGTGCACCAATGCCATTCCATCAAACAGGTGTTTGTATTGATCGGGACCGATTTTCAGTAATCCTGATCCGTTTCTGAGAAGAGAGCCTTTCAGCCATTTCGGAATTTCTCCTATAAGATATTAAATATAAGTTAAATGCATTTACAAAATCATAACTATAAAAAAGAAACTATATACATTTATGATGTGATCATAACAATGTTTGTTGTGCCATTTGCCTACTGGGCTGTCTCCAACTGAAGCGCCTTCTTGGTTGTCTTTGGCCTTTGCCAAATCTCTAGGGCTCAGCTCCTAGCGAGTTCACTGTAGAGATTCTCGCAGCAGTTAAAGAGGAAACGCTGTCTTTTGGAGATAGACCAGTATTTCCCATAGAGCTTTCACCAATGGTTGCTGCCTTTTTCTCTCTCCCCCCCCCCACCACATTCTGTGTGCTCACAAATTGTGGGTCTCCTATTCATCTTCATTTTTAATAATTTGAAACTACCTTTTAAATATAAATTTATCTGAAATTTTACTAAATTTCAATAACATGATGATACTTTATTAAATTTTGATACCTTCTCCCTGGAGCACACAGGGAGGACCTGGATCTCCGTGGGTTGATATACCCTTCTGCCAATTCATGTATCTTCTCTTCTGCAACGTAACATCTGTTTTACCAAAGTTAAAAATAAAAACGGATTCCTTGATAAATTCGTCTTTCCTTTTGAGATCAGGTATCTAAATTTGTGCTTGTGACATCTCTTTAATTTAAATTAAAATAGCACGTATACTTATTTTTTTATTGAAGTTTAATGTATTCTTAAGGTTGATCTTGGACACAAGAAAATTATCTGACTAAAAATTGATTAAGAAAAGAAGAGAAAAAGAGAGACAATCAAAAAATGCATTACTTTTAACAAAAATAAAATACTAATATAATGTTAGCTTACACAATATTTTTGAATAAAAATTCTAAATGAATTCGTAAAAGTATCGCCTTTATGATGAAGTCCGAAGTTAATTAGAATGAAACTTAGGGTGATGTTTCTCTATGTAGGTTTACTCCAGTAGGTCTACGTGGGTTAGTCTTCAAAATGTGTTGCATAGAACTCTCTATATCTGAATTTGTGCTTGTGACATCTCTATAATTTAAATTAAAATAGCACGTATACTTATTTTTTTATTGAAGTTTACTGTATTCTTAAGGTTGATCTTGGACACAAGCAAATTATCTCAATAAAAAAAACATCGCTCTGGAAAAAGAAAAGAAGAGAAAAAGAAATTTATCTTTTCTTTACTTAATTCAATCTGCGAGGGAGTGACGTATTTTCTCCATAATACCCTTGAGACTAACCACGTGCCTTTCTTTTCAAGCAAATTCTGCAAGGTCAAGTGACAAATCAAAAATCAAGGCCAACTCTAAGTATAAAACAAATGTTTTCAACACAAGTTACCCTTCGGTGTTATTTAGTTGCACTATTTTTATCATAATTTTAATTAAGAGTACAAATAATTTGCAATTTTGTTTAATCAATCGAGATGCTTAATCAAAAATGAAGAAAGTAGGAGAGAGTTCATCCAGACCAAAATATTCGAATTATAGCGTTAAAATATTCGAATCAAAATTTCAGTTAAAAAAAAGAATATAAAAACCTATTTTACCAATATACTCATTTTTTTAAATTTAATTTTTCCCATTTAATTTTACAACGAATAATGAAATTTTGCATGATTATAAAATTTTTGAGTTAAATTTTTTTTTAACATATCATAAAAAAATGGTTTTAAACCGTTTCTGATTGTTGTTTTTTGTGTAATCTTTTTAACTAAACATTTCTTGTGATAGGATCGTTAATTAAAGAAGAAAATCAGGAAATATTTTGCTATTATCGCCATAATTATGTAATTTATATTTGCATGTAAATTATGTAAGTTTTCTTAATTAACGACATTTTTATACAGTTCTATTTTGATTATATATTTCCATAATAATATTTTATGATAAAGGTAATTAGTTATGGTTTTAAAATTAAGAGCAAATAAGTTATATTTATTTTATATTATATATACTGTGTTCGGTTAACACATGCAATTAAAATAATAAATAATTATTTAAAACTCTTTAATAATATTAAGAATTAACTTTTACACTATTGCTAAATACCCTATATGATTGCTGAGAGAAAATTATAACAAGTTCTGATGGAGTTGCAATTGTAACTGAGGTTAAAGGACTGAGAATACTTCTTACCAAATTATACCGTCTCCTTATATTTTTTTTTAAGTATGACAGATTTAAGGGAGGAAACTGAATTATGGAGGTAAACTTGTCTACTTGTTTGGAAAACTATTGGTACCATCAAGAACATATCTCAAGGCTTGCGAATCAGAATACGCGCAAGAAACTCAACCTTTCGAATTCGGGTGAATTATTCATTAACATCGGAATTACACGAGATCTTTGAAACCGTCAAGAAGAAGGTTCAGGAAAGGATTCCTCCGGCTAAACTAGGACTAGGTATGAGACGTCTTAAGAATACCTTGAAAAATGGAATCCTTATCCAAATTGAGTCCAAAAACGAACTTAAATCGAAGCGTCAGCCAAGACTTGGCTTAAAAAATTCAATTGCTCATTGCACCGATCATTAAGAACCCAGGGATGGATCTTTACGATATTGATTCTCGCGTCACCAAGTAAACTCTAGGGATCCGTTTAAAAATTTCAAATGAAGAATTGAAAAATACGGAGTTTTCTATCAAGAAAAAAAAATGGAAGCTATTGGATAGACGATGTAATGCCATTGGTCGACATAAAAGAGTTACGTTCAATTCCTCCGATGATACAAGTGCTATTGATTTGGCCATCTGTAAAGTAGCTGCGAATGCGAAGTTCAAGTTGGGGTATGAAACTAACCACCATGTTCAGAGTGAGATCTCCCCTAGCCTAATTTTGATCGAATCACTCATCAGGAGAAAAATATGCAATTCCCTAGTTCATCTCCCACCTTTTGTGATGTTTGACAGGGCATTGTGTCGTTAATTTTTTTTGTTTTGCGTTTGAAACAAACGTTGGTTCGCTGCTGATGGTGTTGTCCATCAAGGCGGAGGACACTTCCATGAGTTTGTGTGCTTTATGTTACTTTCCTGAAGTTTTCCAGCTGTCTTCACGATTTATACAATCACCGTGTGGGCTTAGACACCGCGCCTCTGCCCCTTTTGTCTGGCGCTTATGGTGCTCAAACGCACAGTTACCGGCCGAAAGACTCGCAAGGTCCTCGCATTCTGCGTACTGGCCTTAAGGGATTGGATCGCATAAAGTTGAACTAATACTTATAGTAAGTATTTAAAAAAAAAATTTATTGATAATAATGAGCGGTGTTGCAGGTGAAATAAAATAGAGATGTTCAGATTTGTTCCGGTTAAATTCATAGAGCATTCAAGTTAAAGTTTATATTGCACTCAATCTAATATTTCAAGTGTATAGCGCAAAATGTTCCAACTATATTGAATACGATTTAAAACTTAAATACTTGCCTACAAGGATTTACGATAATGTAAAAATTTCTTGTAGTTGATCATAATTTTTAAGAACAAGCAGCCCGTAAATATTCAAATTTACAGGATTTTTTAAAAATAAATAAATGTGAAAGAAAGAAAAATAAAACTTTGGTTAAATTTTACTAAAATATAGGGCGTCAACAATGATTTTTAAGACTTCGTGTCAACCGGAATTGGTCGAGCCCTGCTCCCCACAATTTGATAACATTGCTACCACAAATGATAATTTTTCTCTAATTTCTTAAAATCTACTTTTAGCACTTATTTGTTGTTTTTTTTTGCACTTATTCATTTTTTAATAACTTATGACTTGTTTTTTTATAAAGGAATGGCTGAGATATTAAAAAGTGTGTTTTCTAATTCTTCGATTTAAAGAATATTATTTTTAAAAAAAATTTGGAATTCTTAAATGAGCTTGTAGCGTAACTATCACTATAAATATTAAATACCGAATAACTAGTATATAAGACATGTAAAATTGACACTAATTTGTTTTGGAATATGGCCAAAAATTTAAGAAAACCCATTCCAGTTAACCTACCACTAAAATATAATGATAAAGCAAAGATCTCTTCTACTGTTATGCAAGAACAGTTTTCACTTAATAATATCTCATGCCCTATTAACGATAATAATGTTAACTTAACTTATCATTAACTCAACCCCCAGTAATAATATTATGGATAACGCCAGCGATAATGAAATCATCAATATTATCAAAAAATTAAAGAATCGAAAGGCCCATGGCCACGATTCTGTTTCAAATGAAATGCTTAAAAATGCTCCTCCAAGTATAATATCAACTATAGCCCTATGACAGCTTTCTTAAGCTCAGATTGTATTATGTCAAAGTACTTTAAAACATAAACAACACAAACACACACTAATCATAACACCAGGTTGTGGCGCGCACGTTGAAGGAGCAACCCGAAAGGGTGTAACCGGGTGAGCCACACACCTGCTAACTTATACAGCGAGCAACCCGGTACGAGCGGTAATCACCGGGACGGTCGGGTCGCTGTGGAACACTTCTACACACATGTATATTCAGGGGTCTGTCTAGGTTTTTCTGAGAGGTGCCTATTTTGTGAAAATTTAGGCATAATTTGTGAAAAATAAAAAATTATATTTAAAAATCCAACACAAAAATATGGCAAGAATATGGATTTATCATTTCTTAAGGAATACAAAAATAAAATTTTAAGAAAAAGTATTTTGTGAAACTAGCGTTTTTCCTAAAATTAAATTTGTAAAAATACCGTTTTTCCTAAAGTTGAATTTGTGCAGGTACCGCTAAACGGTAGTAAATTCGGTCTGGACAGACCCCTGAATTATTGTAAATAATTTTCATTCGTTTTAATTATACCTGCTCATCCCATTTTTCTATATTGTTGTATATAGTTAAATTTTATTTTTGTAATTATCGAACGATTTTAATGTGCTCAACATCATTCTTGACAATGGAGTTTTCTCCAACCCTACCTTTTATATTTTACGACTGTTTTTCCTGTGTGTATATATATATGTCTTTACAGTTTATGACCAATAGAATAAGATGAATCAGTTAGTGGCGCTTCTCGCCAAACACTGAGATTTCAACCATATCCAGCATCCAGCAATTGATTCTATCTTGAGGTCCCTTTTGATAGAAGAAGGTTGACATAGTCGATTTATAATTCCCCACAAGCTTAATTAAATGTCGAATTGTGTGTCATTAAATGCCCTCCAGTCTATATTAAAATTCAAAAAGTACGCCAATTAATAAAAAAAATCGTCGTATATTCCTCCACAAAATTTTAGTAGACTGGAATTCACGCCAAAAATGTAAAAGAATTCTGAAATTTAATTCTTTTGCATAATAATTTAAAAGAAATAGGAAAATTTTTTTGCTAGTTTTAATCTTTTTAATTATGTATTTTTCTTATTTTTTTTCTCTAGAAGAAATTAGATAAATAGAAATTGATCAGATGAGAACCTAGCGAGCATAAGATTCACTTTAACAAAAAGAGAAAAAAAGAATAATATTGATATGATAAGAAACTAAAGTACATATAAAACTGATTTGAAAAGAAAAGAAATTGTAGTGTAAAATTAATATTGCTTCCAAAAAATTAAAGAATAAGATTTACATATAGTAATTTAAAATAAAATTGTTAAAAAGAAATTAATTTCGTTTTCCAAGAAAAAATATCAACTTAGTGTTGATCAGATAAAAACCTAGTGAGTATAAAAGGAATTCAAACGAAAAGAAAAAAAAAAGAATAAAAATTGATACGATAAAACGCTAAAATATTCATGAAATTGATTTTTAACAAATAAATATATCTATAAATTGTAGTGTAAAATAAATATTATTTTCCGAAAGTTTAAGAATGTGATATACATAAAGTAATTCAAAATAATAAAAAATTGTTTAAAATAAATTAAGTGTTTACCAAGTGTAAATAAGATAAAAGGAGTGAAAATTGATCTGATAAAACCCTAGAGTCTAAAATTAATATTAACAAAAAGAGAGAAAGAATAAAAATTGATAAAAGAACCTAGAGTATACATAAAATAGATTTTAGCAAAAAGAAATTGTAGTGTATGATAAAGGTTGCTTTCATAAAGTTTAAGAATAAAGTACACAGAAACCAAAATAAAATTGTTGACAATACATTAAACACGTTTTCCAAGAAGAAAAAACGAATATCTATAGTATAAAACTGATTCTAACAAAAAGATAAAAAATAGAATAAAAATTCATTTGATACCTTAAGCTACAACCTTAAAGCACATACAAAATTCATTTAAAAAAAGAAAAGGAATTGTAAAATAAATATTATTTTCATATACTTTAAGAATAAGATATATACATAATTTTAACCAAACAAAACAACAAGCGCTTCATCAATTTTCTTCTCTATGGGAAAAAAAAAAGTTTTATCAAAAAAATTTTTTTTTTATTTCTGCAGCAACGATCACCAGCTGCAATTGCTTGATACAAAAAAAAAAAAAAAAAAAAAAAAAAAAAAAACTCAACCATGTGACTTAGTTCTAGTGTTGTTAGTTCAAGGCCACTAAATACGCTTAATGCTCTGAATAACGGATTTTTACAAAATCGATGTTAGTGAAATATTGTATTTACCTTTTATTTCTCCTTCAATAGGAGAGGAAGATTCCTCTGTACAAGATCTCAAAAAAGGAATATACAAACTTGCTGGTTTGCCTTCCATGCTTAACGATAGTTGAGTGACGCAGCCCTTTCTGAGGCGAAAATTGTCAACAAACTATAGATGTCGCTACGAGCAAGGGATACTTAAAGAGGATGATATAATATAATATGCGATCTCCGTTAAGTATATGCAAACAAACCACACGTGCATTATTGATAAAAAAAAAGTTTTGGAAAAGAAAAAATGCTAAGAAAAGGCAACAAATCTTTCTAAATGGTATCAAAATTATCTCCAACATTTGTGATTGAAACGAATGGCGTTATTTTATATTTTGATATTTTTTTATTTTCTTCTCATTTATGATTTAAGAGAGTGTTTTATAGTCTTGTTCAGTGGTTTCCAACTAACATGAGGCCGGGGGCCACAATTAAAAGCACAAATCAAATGGCTGGCCGCAACTTTATCAAAATTTTATGTAGGACTCTTTTGTGTTTAAAGGAACATTAAATTTTACTGTCAGATTCTTACCAAATTGTACAAAACAAAAGTATTGAATTGCAAATTAAAATAAGAAGTAGATTTTTAAAAATATTTAATTACGTATTAAAAAATTCGGGTTACAATAGCTGTAATGTGCACCTATGTATTAAACAATTAATGTGCAACAGATATCTAATTGTTAAGATTAACTTTAAAAAGGTTGGTATTAAAACTTACATTGAAGCACACAAAATGTTCAGTGAGAATATTGAGGTTTGTCTGCTGCAACCAATTAATGTGCAACAGATATCTAATTGTTAAGATAAACTTTAAAAAGGTTGGTATTAAAACTTACATTGAAGCACACAAAATGTTCAGTGAGAATATTGAGGTTTGTCTGCTGCAACCACCAGAGAATAGATATTTACATTTTAAATTTACAAATGTATGTGTAAATATTTTCGTCCAAAATGAGTGGTTTCAAAAGTTACATCTTAGAATTTTTTCGAGAAAATTCTGATACACACATGCTAAATTATTATTCACAAAATACAAAAAAATGAAATAAAAAAGAGCAACATTCACGATTATTTTTGTATTTGAATAAATATTTTCTTGGATGCAAAACCTGAAAAATGAATTTTTTGTACCGTTGGTATGTTAAATTTCGCAGAAACGAAGAAATTAATTTTTTATTAACGAGTCAAATATTTTAACCCATATAGATTTTTTACTAAAATTGTCCGCAAAAAATGACAACTAATATATTTTAGTTCGCGGGCCACAAAAAAAAGTCTTCGCTAGCCAGATGCGGCCCCCAGGCCACCAGTTGGAAACCACTGGTCTCGTTAGTAGAAATAAAGTATTAAGAACCGCGATGGCTCGGGGGTAGAGCGTTTGCCTTCCAGTGAGGCGAACCGGGTTCGAATCCCAGTCGATACGAATCCCGCATCCAGCTTGCATCGATCACAGTGCTGACGTGAAATATCCTCAGTAGTAGACGGATCACGGGTTAGAGTCCCCTTGCCGTCAGGCTAACCGTGGGAGGTTCTCGTGGTCTTCCTCTCCATGTAACGCAAAAGCTGGTTAGCTCCCTCAAAAAGTCCTCCACGAAGGCAAATTTCTCCCAATACTTGATCCAGGAGTTCCCTTGTTTTCTGGATTGGGTTCAAAATTACAAGGCTACGGAATTGAACATTAGTTGTCGTAAACTCATAAAACTGGGTCGGCTGTTCAACGACGGTTCTAAAATAAAATAACAAGTTAATGTCTTTGCCTTAATCAAAATTTTTTGAAAATATATTTTTTATTCATTGATTCAAAATTTATTCCCTACGTATTTTAGGGTATAATTACTTCAAAACAGTTTACATCAGCATCTCTCACCATTCACGAATTTATCACATCAATATCAGTGATTGGTTTGTGTTCAGTAAGTCACTGAGCATCTCTATTACCTCAGTAAAATGGGCAAATATAATGCATGCTGAGTTACTCACTAAATCAGATTGTGATCTATCAGTTTTCCTTCCTTATGACATTTCAAGTTGTACAGTTAATTTATTTTACTAAAAAAAAAAATTTAAATCACAAATTAATGGAATCGTCAATGTATTAAGAGAGTCTTTTCATTACTTCTTGTGTATTCGCGAAAAATATAAGTAGAGTGATTTTTTTCCCATCTTTACTTTTACTGCTGGGTCAGAACTTTGTTCCAACATAGGCATTGTTTTGTCTGTTATAACGTTATAACTATTTGTTTTAGGTTCGTGAGGTTTTCAAATCAACAAAAGGAGCAGTTTTAACCATCGATCCTAAAAATCCTTTAAAAATTTAATAAATTATTTGGTCAACGAAAAAAGCTAATTTTCTATCTGGTTTAGCATTAGCCATTACTATATATATTAAACTGTAAAAAATTCTTTTTTCTCCTAAAAGTTTAAAGATAATACCAGTAATATTCGCTAGCTTACTGCTAATTTTCATTAAAAAAAAGGGAATTTATTGTACGCTGTTGATTTTTTTAATGATTACGTCCGTTTAATTATTCGTTACAAGCTGGGTGATCACCGTCAATAGCTTGCGAACACTACGTAATTAAATTAACATTTATAATTTACTTTAAAAATTAAGTTTATGAAATTTTTTAAAGTTTTTTTCATCAAATGATTGTTTGCAATTTCAGCATGAACAGATTTCTGCATAGAAAATTTTTCGTCAAGAATTTTGCATTAATTATTGTATTCTACATCCGACAAATTATCCTGAATGTTTTTAATAAATATATTAAAATAATAAACATATTAACAAACATTAAATAAATTTAACAAACAAATAAACATATATATATATATATATATATATGTTAATAAATAAAATTTTTTGTTTAGTGTTTTGCACGAATGTTATATTATTAGCCAAGTAATTAAAAAAAAAATTTGGGGACTCGGACCTCATACAAAAGAAGAATTTAAAACTACTCAGTTCCAATAGAACAGGTCACCGGGCTGAACTCATTAAATTTCAGGAAACCCATACATTTCTAAGCATATACATCTATAATCGTTATATTTCAATTTTATTAATTACAAAAACAGTACAAAAATACATTTGCTTTGAAATGCACATAAAAAATTTATATTATCAAAATTATAAAATAATTCCTGAACAATGTTGCATGTTTATAGAGCTTTATATGCAATTTAAACTTTATCGACGAATATTCCGTGAAATGTTCCAGGAACAGAAGATTTCGCAAGAAATGTTGCTCTTCCTATTTCCTTCATAGTTTTAGCATCCAAAACAAGCAGAGAAACTTTATTTTCGTCATCTTCATACGTAAGTGAAGCCAGTAGAACACCTGCAACAGAAAATAATAAATATAATAAGTGTGCCAAAACATTAACACAAATTTTTCGCTTCCTCATTGAAATCTAGCTCCCTACAGACAGTGATGAGTACTCAAAATTTTAATTGGTCTCAAAATATAAACCAAGTGTTAGGTGTTGTATAGCCTGCTTCTTAGTCTCTTGTGCCAAAAACTCAAAACTGATAAATTTTTCAATATAAAGAGAAGAAGGTTGAAAGTACATGAAACAAAAGTATTAAGGTTGAAAGTACATGAAACTAATGAATTAAACGAATGTTTCGTTTCAGACCATTGATATTTGAAGGCATTAAATACTTTTTTAAAATATAAGAAGGATTTATTTGAATTCTATTGAAAGGAACTTTTCATGCTTCACAAATTTTAATTTAATGATGAAGATTCTTGAGAAGCTCTTAAAATTTGCTCAACTCATTTAATTGTTACTTTTAACGGTAATGTTATTTCGATTTTAAAAATCCTAAGCGTGCAAATTAACACTTGGAACTTTTAAAGTGCGTACTATGTACAGTGCGCAAAATAAAAAAAGTTCTGAATAACTTTTGATCAACTGATCGGATCTTCACGTTCTAAGATTCTATAAATAGTTCGATGAGGTGATCTCATTTATGTTAATTAGTGCAGATGATAATTGGAGATGATAATTTAATTTTGGAACTTTTAAAGTGCGTACTATGTACAGTGAGCAAAATAAAATAAAAATTTCTGAATAACTTTTGATCAACTGATCGGATCTTCACGTTCTGAGACTCAATATTAATAGTTCAATGAGGTGATCACATTTATGTTATTAAATTAGTGCAGGTAATAATTTGAGTTACGAACTATCTTTCTCTGAATAAGCATTCCTTTTTTTTCGAGTGTTAGTGAATTTTACTTTTTGCGTATTTCTCCATATCTCGAGAACATTTTAAGCTAATTAAAAAAAACTCTTGAAATTCGTTTATCCCGAGATAATTCAATGCAAATTATAACCTTAATTTAAGTATTTATTATTTTATTTAATATTAGACGGGAAAAAAATGTTTTAAAATTTTACATCATTTTAAAGAATGTTATTTTAAAGTGCGAAATGTAAAATCCAAACGAATTCGGTCGAATAGTTTTTTAAGAAATCGAATTTTAAAAATACAACTTTTTCAAAATTGGATTTCTTAGGAACCATTTGATCTAGTTCGCTCAAATTTTGTGTTTTGCCATTAAAATGATGTAAAAAACGGTAAACCTTACAATTCAGAATTTTTTTGACTTTTAATAAATAAATTATAAATATTTACTAAAAGTTATTTTGCGGGGAATTATCTTTGGATAAACGAATTTTATAATTGTGTGCAAAATGTTTTTGAGATATGACGAAATACACATGAATCAAAATTAAGATTAAGGGGTCAAAACTTTGGACTGTTCTCCTGACCAAACTATTTAGACCATATATCCCAGATTGCGACTACCCCCTATGTTATGGGAGTCAGAAATCCGAATCCGTCGGAAAAAAATTCAGGGAAAGTACATTTTTGTGTCTGATTTCATAACTTAAAATATCATCTACGCTATTAAGTTGCATATTTGAGATCACCCCTTAAACCGTTGAGTGAAGATCCTATCATTAGGTCAAAAGTAATTCAGGGCTGTTTTTTTTCTTCAAATATTTCAATACATCAATTCACTTAATAATTAGCTTTGATTCCACCGATTAAATCTATTTTAAAATGAAATAATTGAGTATTAATAATTTACGCACCTAAAAAGAATGAAACTCGC